GGGGCAGAGAGGGAGCGCCGGGAACCGCAAGGTTGGTTCAAGTCCCGGCTGCCCCATGTCCAAGTGTCCCTGAGCAAGACACCTTACCCCCTAATTGCTCCCCGGGCAAAAGCCAAAAGTCATTAAACATGTAACGTAAGTCGCTGTGGCTGTTTGGGGGCTGACCCGCTGTGAGATAACGCGCTGCCTTCCTGTGCTCAGGGTGCTGCGTGCTCAGTACTCGGAGCTCATCCAGCCTCGCAGTGTGGACGGACCGGGCCAGGACACACCCAAGATGTCCGCGGGTCAGATGCTGCTAGTGGCCTTTGATGGCATGTTCACCCAGCTAGAGGCGGCGTTTGGACAGCTCACGGAGAAGGTACAAGCTGCAGTAAACGTCGTCTCCGCTGGCTCTGGTTATTGCATGTTGCTGTTGCTACGAGCCCCTCGGCTGGTCAGAGGCCTCTGCTGCTAAACCAGTGATTCTCCTCACCTCCCCCAGCTGAGTTCTCTGGAGGTTCCGGCGGCCTGGAGGAAAGTGGATGTTCTGAGGGAGGCTCGGGCCGCGCAGCTCCACTTCTTTGACAGCGCGAGTCAGCGGCAGCTCAGGGAAGACGTATTTGTGTGCAAAAGGTGTGTGTGTCTCTGGGTCTGCGTCTGTGTGTGTGCCTGTGTGTGTGTGTGCGTGAGTGTGTGTGTGTGTGTGCGTCTGTGTGTGTCTGTGTGTCTGTGTGTGTAGTCAGAGTCTAACCCTGTTTTTTTACATGCAAATAAAAGTATTTTGAATTGAAATCATTTTAACTTCATAGACTAAATGATCACTGAGGGAATAATTGGTGTGATCATCAGTTTAAACGTTTACAATCATGTCACATCTTCTGCTTCTTTTGCATCAGGATTCTGTTTATCTTCACGTATCAATGAACGTTATGCAGTTATTGGATGTATCCTCTGAGGACCAGAGCAGAAGATACGTTACGATCCATCCTCTGAGGACCATGAACAGAAGATACATTACGATCCATCCTCTGAGGACCAGAGCAGAAGATACGTTACGATCCATCCTCTGAGGACCATGAACAGAAGATACATTACGATCCATCCTCTGAGGACCAGAGCAGAAGATACATTGCGATCCATCCTCTGAGGACCATGAACAGAAGATACATTGCGATCCATCCTCTGAGGACCATGAACAGAAGATACATTGCAATCCATCCTCTGAGGACCATGAACAGAAGATACATTACGATCCATCCTCTGAGGACCATGAACAGAAGATACGTTACGATCCATCCTCTGAGGACCAGAGCAGCTGGGATCAGTGAACAGTGTGCAGATAGTTTCCCCGTAAGTAAAGTAAAGTGAAACAAACGTCTCTGATTTGCAATCAGCTCGATCTGATTGAAGAGAGACGAACTCTTAATTCAATCGGCTCCGTCTGAGACACCGACACCAGAACGGAGCAAATGTCCCCAAACGTCCCTGTCCCACGTCTACCAGCTCTGACTGGGGGATCCGAGGTGTCCCAGTGCAGAGATGAACGTCTCCACCTGGTCCTGGGTCTTCCCCCGGGGCCTCTGCCGGGACCACCTCCCCAGGGGGCGTCCTCACCAGATGCCCAAACCACCTCGACTGGCTCCTCTCGACCCGAAGGAGCAGCGTCTCTACTCCGAGCTCCTCCCCCCCTGAGGGAGGCGCTTGCACCCGTCACCTAGTTCCTTCGCTCATGACTTTACTTGTGATGTATTTTTTTATCTTTATATTTTTATTCTATTTAATACTTTTTACTTTCTGGATCTTGAGTCTGAAATACAAGTTGTGTTTTATTTCCTTTTTTTAATTAAAAACACGTCATTTGATTTTGACGAAAAACATTAAAAACACCAAATCTCCAGGGAGAGATTTTGAGACTCATGAATGTGTATTTGATGTCCTGAGAGAAGGAAGGCGATGAAAAGAGGAAAGTCAAACCCCTTCATGTCTAATTAGTACTGGATCAAATCAACCAATCAGAAACCAGAATGTCTTCTCTTCTTCGTGTGCAGCATGAACCTGCGACCTGCCGTCAGAGGCCACTCACAGTTCTCGTCCTGGGCGACGCACTGCAGCGGGATGCCGAAGAAGGAGGTGTAGGAGTCGTTGTACCAGACCAGCAGCTCGGTGCCTCGGGGGATGTCCATGCACGCTCGGTAGAAGATGCAGGACCTGCAGAGGCACAATCACATGAGGTCACACAAGGCCACATCCAGTAATACAAGGTCACATGAAGTCACACATTCATCAGCACATCCTGAAAGTCTGACGAGAAAGAAGCTTGAAAACAAAAAATACATTCAAGTCAAAGTAGAGATGAAAGTGTCTCCCAGTGACTCATGGGAGATCTCCCAGGTGACCAGAGCCCCGGTGACTCATGGGAGATCTCCCATGTGACCGGAGCCCCGGTGACTCATGGGAGATCTCCCATGTGACCGGAGCCCCGGTGACTCATGGGAGATCTCCCATGTGACCTGCGTCTGGACGGCTGACGGCCGAGCCGCTGAACCAACACGCCGACGCCGTCTCACGTCCAGAACAAACCGCTTCCCGCGCTTTTCACTTTACAGGGTCGGACGGGAAGCGGCGGGTTCGACTCCCATGTTCCCACTGCCAAAGTGCCTTTGAGCCAGAGCACCAAGCGCCATATGAGACATGTTACATCATAGTGTGCGCGCGCGTGTGTGTGTGTTTTATTAATTCTTTCCACACTGGGGGAGGGGTGTGGTGGTGCTGGAACCCTGAGAAAACAGTGCCAGGAGGGACTGGACTATAAATCAAACATACCCGATGACCCCCCAGTAAAATGAGAGAGAGAGAGAGGGGGGGAGTGGGGGGGTCGAGAGGGTCCAGAAACACGCAGCGACTCGTGTACTTAAAACAAATGAACGTGTTTAACACAAACTCGGCGCTAAGTTCGGGCGGGAAGGCGCCATAAATCAAACGCCTCCAACAGGCCCACGCAGGTATGAAAAACAAAGACCCCCCGCTGGCGCGGGGCGAGTTTGAAAAGGCCCGTCTGAAGGAACCAGCGGGACGCGACTCTGATCTTCTCTCCTGTTTTCACACAAAGCAGAAGTAGCTCAATGATCAGCTGTTAGATCAATAACACAGGTAATAAATCCAATCACAGAAAACACAGCCGGAATGTTTCCCCGTGGAGCGGCTCGCCATTTTCAGGAAGTGAGCTCATCTTCCAAGAGGGCGGGGCTTCAAAAACAGCAAGGGATTGGAACTTACTGGCAAAAGCAAAGGGAACAAATGTCAAAGATCTTTAAAGTTAAAAAAAAAAGAGAAAACTCCGAAAGGTTTGAGGGCCAAAGAGCAGCTGAGAGCCAAAGAGACCGAGACGCCGGTAGTTGAGTGTGAAAGAAGAGGGGAGGCGCCGCGATGCTGACAACAGAAGATTCAAGACATCTTGACAGACTTCCGGACGGTTGGAAGGAACATCTCTTCTTCACGGATCTATGTAGAGCCTTTAGTAACGATGTTTTGTTTCCATGTAGAGACGCCAAAGGGGAGCAAGCAGAGGATAAAGAGGAGGGGAAGTGTCAGAGTTCAGTGATCCCAATGGAGGGAGGACTGCAGACAAAGAAGAGCATGGGGGGCTCCAGTAGTGTCAGTGTGTCCAGGGGGGGGATCATCAGAGGAGACGAGCAGGTCGCTGCCGTTGGTTCTGCAGTCTCAGCTGAGATGAAGACTCACTGCGGATTGAAGTGTGTTGAACAAGATGGTTCGACCACATGAGTTCTGATTTGTTGAACAACTGCGTTCAGGTATTTTAGACGAGATGAGAGATGAGCGTTGAGCGATAAGAGATGAGAGATGGGAAATGAGAGATCAGCGATGAGAGATGAGAGACGAGCGATGGGAGATGAGCGATGAGAGACATCGCTCCTCACTCATGAGCGATGGAAGATGAGAGAGGAGCGATGGAAGATGAGAGATGGAAGATGAGAGATGAGCGATGAGAGAGGAGCGAGGGAAGATGAGAGAGGAGCGATGAGAGAGGAGCGATGGAAGATGAGAGATGAGAGATAAGAGATGAGCGATGAGCGATAAGAGATGAGCGATGAGCGATGGGAGATGAGAGATGAGCGATGAGAGAGGAGTGATGGAAGATGAGAGATGAGCGATGGGAGATGAGCGATGAGCGATGAGAGATGAGCGATGAGCGATGGGAGATGAGAGATGAGAGATGAGCGATGAGAGATGAGCGATGAGAGAGGAGCGATGGAAGATGAGCGATGAGCGATGGGAGATGAGAGATGAGCGATGGGAGATGAGAGATGAGAGAGGAGCGATGGAAGATGAGAGATGAGAGAGGAGCGATGGAAGATGAGAGATGGGAGATGACAGATGAGAGATGAGCGATGAGAGATGAGCGATGAGAGATGAGCGATGGGAGATGAGAGATGAGAGAGGAGCGATGGAAGATGAGAGATGGGAGATGAGAGATGACAGATGAGAGATGAGCGATGAGAGATGAGCGATGGGAGATGAGAGATGAGAAATGAGAGCAGTCTGTGGTTGTTGGGCTTTTTATGGATGACCCAAGTGGAGGCTGCCGCTCCAGGTCGCATTATTATTGTAATGTACTTTAATCCATTTTAGGATTCCTGCCAAGCATTATAATGTGTTATATTACCTGCACAGTCACTTCAAAACATTATTGAGATACCTGAGTGGTCGGGAGGGAATCTTCAGAAACCTCCTGGTTTGATTCAATCTGAGATCTGATGATTGTTGATTCAACTTGGATGGATTACAACGTTTGTTTGCATAATTCATTGTTTCTCGCTGCGATTAGAACTAACAGCCCAGTATCTCGGGATGAGCACTGCGTTTCAAATGATTAGCTTTTCTGCATCAAGTCTGAATCATTTAAGAAAGAACCCCCCCGAGTGCAGAGTGTGGCTATTACTCATCAATACTCAACAAACAAGTTATCCAACACCAACGCTTATTGAGCCACATGTTTGAAATATTTATAGCAACGGAGTAGAGTGGGAAGGTTTGTTTACTTTCCAGATTAACCACAACATTGTTCCTGGTGTGTACGGTGCGTTAACGGGAACCGTGTCCTAAAGCACAACCCTGTTCCCCTCAAAGCGACAGGAATCCACTTTGGCTTCCAAAGGGGAAGATCCGTAGCTCTGTAAGTCTAGTAAGACAAAATAAGCAACATCGAAATAGATGGTTTTGTTTTTACGTTGTTTATTTGTTGTTTTGTCGTGTCTGTTAAACATTGTTTGCATGGAAATGCTGGAAAAAGAGCCAACAGCATTGATTGGCTGAGCAGTGTTTCCCAAAGAAGTGATTTAATTTAAGGGCCAAGAGTCTTAAAGGTAAACTCACACAGCAGACATGTTATACATGAGCTCCTGGTACTCGAGTCAAAGTGGAGGGATAGTGTTCCTGTTTCCCACAACAACAACAACAACAACAATCAAGGAAATAAGAGACATGTAGTAGAGTTAAGCACAAGCAGTCGTGCCTGCAGGCACGATACCATCCTGAACCAAATGACTTCCCGGCTCGACGGAGAGCTGGAACGCGATGCTGCTTTCATGCACTCTTCATGTTTTCTACAGCGACGCCGACTTCACTGCCTCATGAATGCGTTTCATTGGTTTCCCATCGACCTCTGACGCAGTGACGCCGTCGCTCTCTCTGATTAAAAATAGATTTCATGTGATACGAACAGTCGAGGATCGTTAAAATGTCTCATCATTGTTTTACAGCTCATGAACTCAGGATTGCCCTCATTGGGGAAAAAAAAGCAGGACGAAAACACAAAACTGACTGACGTCATCATCGGAGAAAGAGATTTGTCTCTTCCAGCAAGCAGGTGGAGGAAGAAAAAAGTCACGGCGGTGAAACCGTCAGACGTCTTCGGCGCGCCGCTCAACACAGGGACACAAGATGATGACGTGTGTCGCCCGATGCCGCCCGGACCCAACGCCCTGCTGGTGAAGCCCTCCGATTTCACCGAACAGGACCGGCAGAGGATCGAGTCATCGTGAACTTCTTTGGACGAGACGCTTTTAACTACACCATGGTCATCGCAACAGAACGTGAGAGGATTTGTAGTTCCTCGGTTGATCGAATCCTCAAAGACTTCGGACACACGCAGCATAGAATGATCGACTTTCCTCCCGGCGATCGCCAGGAATTGTTGGAGAAAATTGAGATCACAGTGGATCTAAACGAGGCCCAATGTCTCACCTGCGCTCAGGAGACCGGTACCATTGTTACACCTGAATGTGCCAAACCACCTCTTAACCTGGTGTCGTGTGGGGGACGTGGAGCCTGGGAAGACTTCAGTGGCCAAAACCCTTCTGGGACACAGGAAGTTTGGTTCTGTTGGGTCATCAGAGAGCGTCAAACATCAGCGAGAAGTCTGTGGACGTCGGGTCTCTGTGGTGGAGCTGCCTGCCTTGTATGGAAAACTTCAGGAGGCGGAGGAGGTGATGGAGGAATCACTCAGGTGTGTCTCCCTCTGTGATCCTGAGGGCGTCCACGTCTTCATCCATGTCCTACCGTTGGCTCCACCCACAGATGAAGACAAGAAAGAGTTAGGGACCATCAGGGACACGTTCACGTCTAACGTGAATGACTTCAACATGATTCTGTTGACCGTCGGGTCCGATCCTAAAGCTCCCGCTCATGTCAGATGTCTGAAGGAGAATGTAGACATCCAGGACCATCATGTCAGATGTCAGAAGGAGAATGTAGACATCCAGGACCATTATGTCAGATGTCTGAAGGAGAATGTAGACATCTAGGACCATCATGTCAGATGTCTGAAGGAGAATGTAGACATCCAGGTCCTCTGCCGCAGCTGTGAAGATCGGTTCTACGTCTGACGGACCAGCAGCAGCTCCTCCAACTCTTGCGTGCGGTGGAGAAGATGACAGCCGTCATCCAGATGTTTCACATGAGGGGAAACTCATGGCCGACTTCAGGGGCGGGTTCCAGGTGTTCAACCACAAACGTCACAACGTTGCTTCAGCCAGAGAGCTGCTGAGCAAGGTGGACCTCATGGTGGAGAAGAACGGCGCCGGCTATTACACCTCCGAGATGTTTCAAGAAGCTTTCTGTGGCGACACAGAAAGAAATGAAGATAATCCTGAAAGGAAAAGAAGAGGAGATACAGAGACAGATGATGGACTTTGAGAATAAACACTAACAAGAAATTGGGGCCAAGCAGAAAGAATTGGAGGAACAGATAATAAAGACTATAACAGCTGAAAGCTGAAAACCAAACTCATGAAGAAAAAG